TAAACAAAAAATGTTGTAACCTAAAGATATTTTAACCAGGCCAAACTAACTTCTGATTTTCAATACCAGAAGTGACATGCAGTCTAAGGTGAAAATTAAGGATTTTTTTCAGCTTATGTTGTCAATGAAATTTTATGTCCTATCATTATTTTTAGCGGTTTTGTACAAGAGTTCTGGGACTATTTTTTTTCAAAATTATAGGATTTATATTATCTTTTAAACATTGAATTCTGTATTTCAGTGTTTATTTCATTACTATTTCTTTTTTACTCCTGCTGTTAAGACATGTGAAAACGAGAGATATGTCCATAGGAAATGAATACCCCGCCGAGGAAATATAAGTTAAGCAACATGAAAATTTGTATGTGTATAAAATTTGAGCAGAATATCTTGAATAGTGATGAAGCTGAATTGTTTCTTTTTTAAAAAATAGGTCAGATCCAGCATCCGAAGCAAGTCTGGTAGTGTCCATCCCTAGATGCATCATCCATGTAAGTTTGGTTCAGGTCGGGTTAATAGTTAATAAGGAATAAATATGTAAGTCAGATCCAGCATCCAAAGCAAGTCTGGTAGTGTCCATCCCTACATGCATTATCCATGCAAGTATGGTTGTTCAGGCAGGGCTTATAGTTACTTTGGTGTGAAAATATAGGTCAGATCCAGCATTCGAAGCAAGTCTGGTAGTGTCCATCCCTAGATGCATCTTCAATGCAAGTTTTTATTAACATATGAAGTTTGATAACACCATCTTGAATGGTATGTTTAAAACTGAGCTAAACACTAATTTCAGAAAAGTGCGATCAAGGTCAAAAGAAATGTCAAGGTCAAAAAATATTGATGCAGTTGCATAGCTCTCATCAATATCTATCAGCATATAAAGTTTCATGAAAATATCTTGGATAGTTTCTTTGAAACTCAGCTTTGAACAGAGCTAAACGCAAAGTGTGACGGGAGGACAGACAGAAGGACGGAAGACGGACATGACAAACACTATATGCCCGGCCATATTCATGGAGGGGCATAACAAAAAAGAAAAAGCTTTAGTCTCCATGGCGCAAGACCCACCGCGTTAACCACATTTGGATCAGCCCTCGTATAAGCATACAAAGTTTACAAAACTTATATAACTGTCGTTTATACGGATACACACTAATGGAGTTGCCTCAGATGCTTGATCTGGCATATTAGTACATTTTCCAAATAATGGGCAAGGTTAAAATTTTGTGTACATGACTTTTCCAAAGAGACCATAAGGTCTAGCTGAACCGAATTTGCATTTATGATGCAACAAGGGATGGAATCTTAAACTCTTTAGATGCTGGATTAATTTGCAAAACGTTTTCTGGATTGTTGACTAGTTTAAAGTTTTTGATCGATAAATCTTTTCAATGGTAACTACGAGCCCTATCAGATCAAAACTGTAAAAATGTTGCATCTTTGGATGTACCCTTCTGGATTGTTTTAGGTGGGGCATTTTCATTACTAAACGAAAAATTCGTTGGGGTGAGCTCTGTAATCTTTGATTACCTATCTTTATATTTTGAAAATAAAATTTAATACTGTACACTTTTCAGACGGATTAAGAATTTAGATTTAAAAGTAAAAAAGGAAAATTTAAATACAACAGTTTAACTTGTCGATGAAAATCTGTTGGTACACCAAACTATATGAAAACTGCGTACAACATATCAGAAAATACCAGATTTACACTGAAAGACATTGCTAAGACTCTAAATATTTCGTTATCAATGCATTTCAAAAGTTCTGACAAAGAAAAAGAATACCGGTAAAGTAATTTTTTTATCATACATATGCCTTATTTTCTTACAAATCCCTTAAACAAAACACGCATTAAACATGTTAAATATTCCAACAGTTTCTTTAAACCCGAATATTTAACAAAATAGGTGATTTGGTAAACTTGCATGATTGATGGCGAAACATAAAAACCCTTTTTATAGCCCAAAAAAAGTTTGCTACGTAAACTGATGCAAATTGTATTTATGTGTAGTGAAAATTTTAGAACGCAATAACTTGTCTATGACTTCTAGTTCTTATCAGATGAAAGAGTTATATTTTAAAGCCGCTTAACCCGAAACAGGCACATATTATCTTTCACAATAAAAGTACGTCATTACATAGATAAAATATAAAAATGAATTATAAGATTGATTTAATAGTTTATTACAACAATCCTTACATGGAAAACGCAGATCAAAAACCTTATTGACAAACAGTATTTCCTGGCGGAAGTTAAGATCTGTTGTGAAATCAATTTTGAAAAAAATAAGTTTATCGGATATATCTAATTTTGAAGATAATTCAAACCCGATCATTTTTTTCTCGATTAGTAGAAAGTCTTAGTCGTAATACATCTTTTCAAAATTAAGATATTAATTGAATATAATTCATAGTATTTTTTATATTGATATGCATATTTAAAGGAGAAAGGAAAATCAGATATCTTAAATGATTTTTTTAAAGGAGCTAAAATATTGTCCATGTACAGGTAATACATATGTACTTTGTTGTGAAAAAAAATGCTCGGATTCGTTCTTCATGAAATAAACATGTAAGCGATAAATTTAATTTTTCGAAGGTAATATCACGCAATATCAACAATGATCAACATAGGATTATTTTTTTGTGTGACCTAACAAAAATTATTTTCTTAACTTTTGAATTTTGATATCTTTTAAAAGAAAAAGACTTTGGGAATATAATTTGACAAAAGTTGAAACAATTTATGGACAAATATATTTCAAGAAGAAAAACTAATATATATCTTTAGCGATTAGAATCGGACCAAGCGGATTTAAGTATGTTTTTGTGGAATTCCGACTCTTCGGATAACTGTATTATTTATGTTTTATTAAGTCATGGTACTACAGAATTGCATAACACCTCCATTCTCACAGCTACATGTATAACGATAGTCTATATTTTTCTGTAGGAGTGAATATCATCATTTTATCTTCAAGTGGATCACTCTTAACCATTAAGAATCTTAGTCTGATTACACCAAAACAGTTCGTAATGTCTTCCAATACGTTGTTTTGTTTGCCAATCGTAACTAAAACTGTCCAAACGGGACAAAATACCCCCCAGAAGTAAGTTTTTCCATAATAAAGATATGTATCAAACACGAATTATGAAATTTTACTTCCAAAGACCTTGAACTTCCCCAAATGACCTTGGGTCAAGGTCATGACACACCCTTGGGTCATGGGCAACTTTCTCTGAAATGAGAACCTACCAAGTTTATCAATAAGAAAGATATGTACCACACACAAATTATGAAATTTTTTCCAGTGACCTTGAACTTCCTCAAATGACCTTGGGTCAAGGTCATGACACACTCTTGGGTCATGGGCAATCTTTGTGTAAAAATGAGAACCTATCAAGTTTATCCATAAGAAAGATATGGGCCGGACACGAATTATGAATTTTTCTACCAGTGACCTTCAACTTCTCCAAATGACCTTGGATCAAGGTCATGACACACCCCTGGGTCATGGGCAATCTTTGTCTGAAATGAGAACCTACCAAGTTTATCCATAAGAAAGATATGTACCACACACGAATTATGAAATTTTTCTACCAGTGACCTTGAAGTTCCCCAAATGACATAGGGTCAAGGTCATGACACACCTATGGGCCATGGGCAATCTTTGTGTAAAAATGAGAACCTACCAAGTTTATCCATAAGAAAGATATGGGCCGGACACGAATTATGAATTTTTCTACCAGTGACCTTCAACTTCTCCAAATGACCTTGGATCAAGATCATGACACACCCTTTGGTCATGGGCAATCTTTGTGTGAAATGAGAACCTACCTTGTTTATTCATAAGAAAGATATGGACCGGACACGAATTATGAAATTTTTCTTCCAGTGACCTTAAACTTCCCCAAATGACCTTGGGTCAAGGTCATGACATACCCTTAGGTCATGAGCAATCTTAGTGTGGAGTAGTAGATTCTAATGTCCCTCTGTAAGAAAGATATGGACCGGACACGATTGCACAGACAGACGGACAGACGGACAGACGGACAAGATGATTCCTATATACCCCCCCAAACTTCGTTTGCGGGGGGTATATAAAGAAATGTTATCTGGAATAGTTAGATTTAAGATAAACTCTATATATTTGTTTAAGCATTCAAATCGTTCATTATAAAAATCTCATTTACCAACCATCTTTCCTGCAGGTTTACGCGTTCAATGAAATCACTTTCAATTTTCCGGAATTCAAACCAACCCAGTACCTTCCCTTACTGTCCACACTCAGTCCGCAAGGTGTGTCTAATCCACAGTCATCCACACATTGTAAGAATTGCCAATTCTGGTCAAGAGTGTGTAAACAATCATTGTTGTGATCAGTCACAATGATCTGACTCTTGGAATCCGTAGCTATGTGTTCTGGACAGAAATATTTCTTCCTATTGGCAGGATATCCTGTGAACCGGAATCTGACATTCCCTTTCTCGTCCATCACAATTACTTTCTTTGCATTTCCATCAGAGGCACATATGTCTCCGTTTCTGTTTTCAGCTAAACAAATTATAATGTTTCCCCTTTGAAAAATAGGGTTTCCATCAGAATCTTTCTCTATGTCATGCACTTCTTTCCGCCCCGCAAACCGAACTATTTGATGATCATGGATAACAGCATTCGTAACCATGTTGACAAGGATATCACCTGAATTGGTGCAGCATAACCCCCAAGGTTCCCAGCCTTCTGGTGCTTTTATCAAAGTTTCTGTTTTACCAGATCTGACAATCATCACACTCTCCGTATCAGTATATATCAGTTCACCCTGTTGAGTTATTGAGATGTCAACTGGATCGTTTGTAATTTTGGCAGATTCCCTTACAGACCCAGTTATGTCCAAACGTAAAATGAATAATTTTTACACGACCAAGCCATGCTTCGTCAGATCCAACACAAGCTATTGCATCAATGTACTCGCAAATCGATGAAGGTTGAATATCAGCAATTACGCTGCCTTTTCTAGGCATTTCTGTCGAAGGTGACACGGGGGCTTCTTTAAAGTTTCGCTAATGTGTAATCTTTGTGCTAATGTAGCACTTAGCTCTCCAAATTCTATATCGAGTTCTTTACCTCGATCTGTCTTTACTTTTAAGGAAGGAACAGTAACTGTAGCATCAATCTCCTTAGGTGAAGCTTTATATTCCTGAAATTCTGTTTTGTAGTTGACAACCTTAGAGACTGATTTGGACCGTATGATATCTTTGTTATCTTTTATGATTTGAAGCTTTCTTTCAATCATATGTTTTGGTGCATGATTTTGTTCGGTAAGAGATTTTATCGCGTTCTCTCTCATGGACATAATTAAACTCTTGTGTTTATCAAAGATATCGTCTACTTCCTGATGCCAGCATTTTCTGTGCTTTTCCAATTCTCCTTCAAGCACTTCAAATTCTGCTGTTGATTTTGAAATATTCAATTTTCGTGTATTACTTTGCAGCCTCTCTAAATCCAATTGCTTCTGAAGATCCTCTGATTCTTTCAGAATTGTTTTCATGTTGTCATAGAACTTGGCAGGAATGTTCTCGATATTGTGGCCTTTGTGTGAATCAATTACGCATTTAATGCAGACCACTACGTCACGTTGTCGACAGCATGCTTCATACCTCTGGCCTGGGTGCATTTCACATTGCTGGCTAACAACTTTCACATATTTATTAGTAAAGGGAACAATGTCATGCGGGAGTAGTTTATTTGCAGTGATGTGTTTGTTGATGCAGTTTCCACACTGTTTGGTCTGACAGCTATTACAAAATAGGTCTGCTGCTAATGTGTTACATATATCACAAATGATCACTTCCTGTGCCCAAGAAATAGGTGTAGCCATTCTTCTTGTTGGCCTTGAAGAAAAAATAAAAATAAACTTAAATGAAAGTGACTTAAAGGCCCTGTCACACTCTATAATGTGTACAAGGATTTTACACGAATAAATTAACAAGAGACACAGGGGCCACATCGCTCACCTGGGCACATCGGCTAGAAAATGCATATATCCGATAAGAACTGAAACTTTACTGAGGAAGGGGGGCTTGAATTTTAATACTACTTGAGAATGCCTTTGTAGGAATGCGGCACGTCATGACTTTGCTGTTCTTGATAAAAAGATTTCTTTTGAAACATTTTGTTCCTATACATTGTATATTACTACGTTTAAATTTGAATTTGATTAACCATTGTTCCCTCCCAAACCCAAAGGGCCATGATTTGAACAAATTTAAATCTTCAACACAAACATACCTTTTCTATTTTTCGGATTTTCCCCTACATTTTTAATGTAAAACTTTGATCCACCATTGTGGCCCCATCCTATCCTAGGGGTTATGACTGAACACATTTAATTCTACACTACCTCACTCAGAGAATGCTTCCATATACATACTAAGTATCACTAGTCATAGCTCTGCTATTCTTTAGAAGAAGATTTTTTGAAAATATTTTTTAATTCAAAACCTGGATCCCGTCTTAGTATGAGCTTCATTAAATGGGATGTTCTTGCTGGTTTATTAAATATGTCAAACCGCGTTATCAGAATATGCTGTCATGAATTGTATATCCAACAACTGCAAATGACCATTAAAGCCAAGAAAGCTGAGTAGTTCAGGGTTAGATGGAATCTGGACCTTGTTCTCAGTGCTTTAGAAGGAAAGCATATTGCTATAAAATACCATCCAAAGAGAAATTTAAGCAAGTCCTTCTTGCAGCTACAAAGGTTTCCTCCCTCATTTGTACGGGGGCTGCTGGGGATGATTCTAAAAGTTGGGTTGGTGTATATGGAAACGTTGTTTTAATCGGATTCTGTTACTTTACTCAACAAATTTAATTAAAATTCAAAATAATGGATTTCCAGAAGCCACGCCTACTTCGAATGATCATATGACTGATTGGTACTGTTTAAGTCACCAATTCGGCAATATTTTAGCCATATTTCAGCGTATGTTCATATAAACATCTTTTATGTCAATGTTGTCTTCCCTTTGGATTATGAAATATGAAACCATTTTCAGTAAAGAATTTGATCAATGAAGTGCGTATGTTTAACTAAAGACTCAATAGAACAAGACGCATTGAAACTACTTTTGGAATACTCTCTTACGAATGGTAATCTTTTATAATTCCCATGCGCCAAGAGCCATGAACATTTCCATCTTTTGTACTGTACACTGTAAAAAAAATAGCTAGTTAGAGTCACAAAGAAGATTATTTAGTAAATATATTGTCCATACAATCACTACCTTAAAAGCAGTTTTACTAGGCATTGGGTATATTTACTAGATGAGATTAGTAAATCTAGAATTGATAAGTAACTTTCACTATGTATGTAAATATCTATACGACCCCCGCTTCAAAACTCACTATTTTAGCCAGTAAACTGAAAGATTACTAATCATTACAAACGCTTTACTAGGCACACTAGTTAAATTTACTAGGTTTTTCTTTCAGTTTATTAGCATGTTGCTTATAGTCTTCATCATTGGATGAGATCAGACTTCCAATTCTCTGAACAAAAATCTTGATCAACATGATCACATGGGCCTGAATCATCACATGGTTCCAGTATCTTGGACAGATTAATATGCTAACCTTACAGATCTGTACAATATTGTTGGACGCAATCCAGCGAATGGATCAACAAAAACAAAAAGACATCGAACCAGGTTTGAGGTCAATTACTTTGAAAAGTAATAAGTAACTGTCAAATACATTGCTAATTTTGTCAATTAATTATTCGTATAGGCTTATTAGCACTCGGTAAAAACTTGAACCTGGTCTCTCATCCGAAAAATGTAGGTCAAATCCAACATCTGAAGCAAGCCTGGTAGTGCGTATCATCCATTCAAATTTGGTAAATATAGGGCTTATAGTAAAATGGAAAATAGACCTGCACAAAAAAATTTAAACTTGTTCACTCATTAGGAAATGTAGGTCAGATCCAGCACCTGAAGCAAGCCTGATAAGTGTGCATCCTTATGTGTATCATTCATGCAAGTTTGGTCAACATAGGACTTTTATATAGTTACTTGAAAATGGGATCTGTATGGGCAGCGGAAAGGGCAAAAATTACCATAATGAGAAAACAAACAATTATTTTAATTTCAATGACTATAAAAACTTAACAAATGATATACAATGCATAATCAACAGACGTTTTCGAAGAACAAATATACATTAAAGCAAAACCAACGTCCACGTACGTAACAATCATATATGAATGCAAAACCAACGATCATCTTTACAGAACAAACGTACATAAAAACACGACAAGCGATAAAACCTTAACAAACGTGCACGCGGTAAATCTAGTCTTCCCGACTCCCGGCTTCCGACGGTCCCGTTTTTTTTTCTTGGCAATTTCTTTATATTGTCGGTGCACAAAAATTCTTCAAACTTCTCATGCACATTTCCTTTTTAAATGAATTCGATAATATATCAAAACTTCGTATTTATTACTGAATCAACAGCAGCACCTTCCAAACAAGAGGCCCATGGGCCACATCGCTCACCTGAGCACTAAGGGTAGGATAAAGTAGAAAATGGCTTTTTATTGTAAAGTTTAAATCCAAAAGTAGTCCCATGACCAATCATGGATTTGCTATTTTTTAAAAAATGATTTTTAAAGAATTTTCCTATATATATTTAAAAACTTTGGTCGGCCATTTTGGCCCCGTCCTACCCCCCGGGGTAATGATTTGAACAAATTTGAATTTACACTACCTGAGCATGCTTCCATATAAATATGATGAATAATGGCTTTGTCATTCTTCAGAAGAAGATTTTTAAAGAATTTTCCTATATATTTCTATGTAAAAGTTTGGTCGGCCATTTTGGCCCTGCCCTACCCCCGGGGGTCATGATTTGAACAAACTTGAATCTACACTACCTGAGCATGCTTCCAAATAAATATGATGAATAATGGCTTTGTCATTCTTCAGAAGAAGATTTTTAAAGAATTTTCCTATATATTTCTATGTAAAACTTAGGTCGGCCATTTTGGCCCCGCCCTACCCCCGGGGGTCATGATTTGAACAAACTTGAATCTACACTACCTGAGCATGCTTCCATATAAATATGATGAATAATGGCTTTGTCATTCTTCAGAAGAAGATTTTTAAAGAATTTTCCTATATATTTCTATGTAAATCTTAGGTCGGCCATTTTGGCCCCGCCCTACCCCCAGGGGTCATGATTTGAACAAACTTGAATCTACACTACCTGAGCATGCTTCCATATAAATATGATGAATAATGGCTTTGTCATTCTTCAGAAGAAGATTTTTAAAGAATTTTCCTATATATTTCTATGTAAAACTTAGGTCGGCCATTTTGGCCCCGCCCTACCCCCAGGGGTCATGATTTGAACAAACTTGAATCTACACTACCTGAGCATGCTTCCATATAAATATGATGAATTATGGCTTTGTCATTCTTGAGAAGAAGATTTTTAAAGAATTTTCCTATATATTTCTATGTAAAACTTAGGTCGGCCATTTTGGCCCCGCCCTACCCCGGGGGTCATGATTTGAACAAATTTGAATTTACACTACCTGAGGATGTTTCCCCATAAGTTTCATCTTTCCTGGCACAGTGGTTCTTGAAAAGAAGATTTTTAAAATATGCCACTAAATTTTCATTAATTCCCAATTATCTCCCCTTGAATGAGGGCGTGGCCCTTCATTTGAACAAACTTGAATCCCCTTCACCCAAGGATACTTTGTGGCAAGTTTGGTTGAAATTGGCCCAGCGGTTCTTGAGAAGAAGTCGAAAATGTGAAAAGTTTACAGACAGACGGACAGACAGACAGACAGACAGACAGACAGACGGACGGACGCCGGACAAAATGTGATCAGAAAAGCTCACTTGAGCTTTCAGCTCAGGTGAGCTAAAAAGCGTTAGCCTAAAGTAGTACTCCATTATAAATATGAAAACTAAAAACGGACATCGATACAGAGAGACGTAAGGTGTCGTAGATAGTAAAGGTGCATGGACACATATTTAAAGTTAATAATTTCTATATAATGTTACGACTTATTTATATTGTTATAGCATTTCACACAAACATATATTAAAAATCTTATTTTAGCTAAAAGTTATTAAAACTTCAAACTTTTAGACGGGTTTGATCGACACATCCTTGCACTCTCACAAATTTTAATTTTATTCTTAATACTTGGGAAAAGTGGGGGGGGGGGGGGGGGTAGGTTCAACTTCTTTCAGTACCATTTTTTTCCTAATATACATGTACTTCATTTTGACCTTACTCTTAAAATTGGGAAATGTTGCTACGTACTTGTAATATGATATGTCACTGTAATGTAGATTCTTGTAATATTTAAAGAATTGGGGGAAACCAATACATGTAACAACAACAAAATAAAAAATGAAGAAACGGCCTTCAGGAGAATGAATTTTTTTTCATTTATATAAATTCTTTTCTTTTATTTTAAATTTTAAAGATAAATTAACCAAAAAAGGTAAAAAAAAAAAAATGGGGGGAGGGATCCGAGGTAGAACCACGTCCATGTTGTAGAGCCTGGGAACATGAACATGATGTGTCAAAGAGTTCAATCCAAAAAAAAATGTGTGGGGAATTTTTGTGCATACAAATTATCTTGCATATAAATGAGGGTTTTCATTTATTTTAAAAAAATATATACACCAGTTTGTTATTTTTAAACGCGATTCTACGAAAACATCGGTATCCTTTTTTCTGGGGTTTTTGCATTTCTAGCTGAGTACTAGATTTACCGCGTTTTGGCAGATGATATTGCCGATGCAATTTGTTAAAGTAATTAATATATATATATATATAATTTAATTATTTTTTAAACAT